TTTCCTCACTTTTAACGACACGGACCTTTCTTTCCCCTCCGGAAATTCTGTCTTAAAGCTCCAGGGGTGACTGTCAACCGCACCCCAAGGCTGAAGGACTAGAGTCAAGCTCCAGCTGATTCCTTCCCTCCCCCACCCTCTGTGACAACCCAGTAATTCTATCCACCCACCTTCCCCCCCTCCCAAAAAAGCCTTAATTTAGAACATTATTATCGATGTCTCACGTCCCCTCGCCACGTGCCAGGAGCGTGCTGGGTGGCACCTCCCCTCTTCTGATCCCCCAGCAGCCCTGTCAGGTGCCTCCTGCTGCTTTCTTACACCCATTTCACGGACAAGCAAGCCAGACTCCTGGAGCAGCTAGAGCTGACGGGGTGGGGGGGGGGGGACCGCAGGCCGGCCTTCCCGAGCCCACTCCACTCTGCATTTCTGCAAGACCTCAGCATCCGACGGGACACGTTTCTGAACTGCATCCTGGACCCCTAGCAGCAATGGGAGCCTCCGAGCCGCGCGTCCTCACGCCTGCCTTCTCCCACCCACCGTCCAGCCCCTAGCAACCCCCGCCCCCCAGGAAAAACAAAGTGCCACCCACATCCCCACATCCGTCAATACCATCGTCCCCAAAACTCCCACCTCGGTTCCTCGACTCCTGAGCCCAAAAATTCCTGAAATATTCAGTCCCCGACACGAGCCTTTCTGCTTCCAGGACATTCATTCTCCTTACACCTTAAGTCCTAGGAGCAGCCCCCCCAAAGTATGCTGGACCCATGTCTCCTCCTGCTCACTGCTGCCACAGGGTCTCTGCCTCCCCACCTTCTACACCAAATGATCAGCCTCCCAAAAGTAGGGGGCGAGTGGCCTCCACGATACTAGTAACTGACCAAGACCCCCCATTTCCTCCTGACTAATCACACCCCCTCCCCAAACACCTGCACAGGCTTCCCAGACCTCTATGCCTCCAGCATGGGTCCCCACGGCCCTGGGACTCCTACTCAAAGTGGCCGGCCTTACCCTCATGCCTCAGCCCTCCCCTCCCGGTGCCCCCTTTCTGAGCTCACCCTCACCAGGGACTCCTCAATCACCCCTCCCCCGGTCTGCAACTCCACTCCCAGCCCCGGTTCAAATAACCTCCACCTTCAACTCTAGCCCCATCCCCTTCCCCTGCTGGCCCAGCCCCCAACTCCACCCCCACCCCCCACCTCAGAGGACCCCCATCCCAATCCAAGCCCAGACCCTAATTACAGCCCCAGACCCTCCTCTGCTGACTCTGACCCCCAACTCCAGCCGGGGCCCTGGCCCCAGCCCCTTCCTCATTGACCGCGACCCCCAACCCCAGCCTAGACCCCCGGACCCAGCCCCTTCCTCACTGAACACGACTCCCCAACTCCAGCCAGGAAACTGGACCCCCACCCCAGCCCCTTCCTCACTGTCCACGACCCCCAGCTCTGGCCAGGACCCCCACCCCAGCCCCTTCCTCATGGTCTGCGACCCCTAACTCTGGCCCGGACCCCCATCCCAGCCCCTATCTCACTGACCGTGACCCCCAACTCTGGCCCGGACCCCCACCCCAGCCCCTATCTCACTGACCGTGACCCCCCAACTCTGGCCAGGACCCCCACCCCAGCCCCTATC